CGAGGGATTTTTAAGCAGAATTTCAATTCTAATTAGTACTACTGCGGATTTTAGAAGAGGATATTATATTCATTCATTGGATGTGCAAAATATTTAGGTACTACGTGTATTCAGAAAGAAAATAAGTACCAAATACGAAATGAAAGTTATCATCTTATGTCTAGCAGTTACTGATGTTCAGAATTATTCTTAGCGGTGCCCATGGAGAGCTGCAAGTCCTGGGTCATTGCTTAACAGTGATGTGGTGAAGTGGTGATGCCAGCCATTGTTCCAGTCAGAGTACCAAGTCATTGTTTAGTTTCATACGTACGATAAGATGTTTAAGCATGAGTTTATTATGAATATACATTCTGGTATGCCACTACTGATGAATGTTCAGTATGTACACTGCTCTTACGTTGGGACCAGAATGCTTTGATAATGGCGTATGTGTTACATGTATATGTGATAGTGTTTAAAAGATATGATTTTTTTTTCTCAAATCTTTTTCATGCATTTCTTGGAAATAAGGAATTTTTATAATGTATTTTATCTGCATGGGAGAGGGACTAGTTTCTAAACAGTACCTGAAACTGAGAGGTTTGTGATGATGAACATCCATGCCTTAAATGGGATTCAAAACTTTGTCTTAAACATGTTTGGTCACTGATTATACCAGTTTTTAAACCTCATGATCATTTCGATTTTTCCTTGTTTTGAACTTGAAAGGTTAACTTGTTATTTGCTGGTTATACAGAATGTCTCGGGACAGAATGTCCAAAGCTTAACTACGTGCTCTTGGTTTAATTTTGAGCTGAAAGTTGAAATAAAAGTGGGTCCGATCTGCAACGATTTGTTGAGAAAATCCTCTGCACTCACTTTGCATTGATGGAATCCGGTGATAATATTGAAAATGATCATGACTCTGTTACTTCAATTACATGAAGGGCTCAACTGTGCATCGACAATCAGGGTGGCCATTTCGAGTCACGTAAATAACATGAGTAATTTAAAATGCAATTGATAATGATGATGATAACAACAACAGTTTAACCTAAAATTAAATGGAAATAATGTAAAAGTTACAAATGCAATAAAATAAAATTATATAACACATTTTTAAGCTATGGACATTCTGTTGCGGGACCCTCCCTAGAACAGGTTCTCACATGCCAAAAGTTCCAGAAACAAGCATGAATTTAGCTCAGACTGTGTAAGAATCGATACAGTGACCTACGTAATTCACAGTCATTCAGCTTCCAGCCTACTCAAATCATGTGTATCAAAGCATGCAGGACCATGAACTGATGATTCATGTGTACAGGTGCTCACAAAAGACAGTGTCACTGTGTCGGTGGATGCTGTGGTATACTATCGCGTGTCCAATGCCACCATCTCGGTGGCCAACGTGGAGAATGCACATCACTCAACTCGTTTACTGGCACAGACCACCCTAAGGAACACACTCGGGATGCGACCCTTGCACGAGATCCTTAGTGACAGGGACACGATTTCCAGCAGCATGCAGATCACACTGGATGGAGCAACGGATGCCTGGGGCATCAAGGTGGAGCGTGTTGAGATGTGAGTTTTATCATTTTAGTCGTATGTTTTTAATGTTATGTTCTCAGAATGGCCTATTGTAGCAGCCAAAGATGATTACAGTGATAGATGTTTATGGAACCTTGGTGGAACGATGAATGATGGGGAAAGTGCAAAGCACTGGAGTGTGTTCCAATGATATTTTTTTCACAACAAATTGCCTGAAATGGAACCTTGGCTTGCTTAGTGATGAACTATGTGAGTAGGGCCAGGGCAGTGTGAAACTTTACAAATATGTAAATACAAACTTAACAATAGTTTTTGCTAAAATTTTGGACGTTATCTATCGTCTTTTGTTTCTCAAAACATGACGTTTTGAGGACTGGACCTGTCTCCATCATCAGGTAAAATAAAATTAACACAGGTTTTGCAATCTGTGGGGACCCTTAGAAGGAGCCACTGGACTGTCCAGTGATGGAGACAATAACCATCATCAGTATCCTTTAGAATGATTTACAAACTTGTAGTTACTTGCTATAAGTCTTCCATTTGTATCACCTAGTCATGTTAATTTAGCCAAAAGTGTACTTGCAAATTGACAGCTAGCAGAAGGCAAAGAGATTTTCCAAAAAGCATGGATGGAAGTGGAATGTCCGCCATGATACTTTTTCAAGAAAATCCTGAAAGGGGTCATGACGGTCAAGCTGACCATAGACAATGAAAAAAAAAAGTGGAATGTCCCCTCATAGCTGACATATTTTCCACAATTTGGCACTTCTGGGGGAAATAAATTGTCCTGTGGTAGGCATGGTTTATGATGTTATTGTTTCACAAAAGATTTGTCATTGTCTGCTTGTTGCGGAAGAAGAAATTTGTAGCAGGCAATTCCTAAATATTCCACATTTCTCTGTCTTCAAATCCACACAAGTCCTTCTCTCTGCACATTGTTTTATTATCATAAACTTGCAACATTTTATAAATGTCTAACACATTTTCCATTTTTCACCTCTGTTCCTAAGAATGTAATGTTTATACTGCTTTATAAAATATATTGCCTTTCTGTTAACAAAGAAACGAAACATTTCTTCAATTGAACATTTTGTTCTAACAGAACCTAAATATAAATGATGATATTGTTATGTAATACTTACAGCTCATGAAATCATGTTCCAACATCCATCATCTTCCCCAGTGCTGTCACCTGCCGTAACAAATCTGATTACTCTGTTGTCAGGTTTTAAAAGCCAAGGAACTGGAAAGTCCATAGTAAAATTCCTTGCACGAAAGCCTGTCTGGCGTGGATTTACGTGATGTTTTTGAAAATAGTGAACAACCATATCTTTCTATCCCTCAGCATTAAAGTTATCTGTGGATTTTCAATCGCAGATATGGCATGTTATAGAAATATAATGGAAGAAGGTTCCACTGCATAGAAAGTGGAATGTGTAAAGTGTTAAGCATAGAATGTGACTGAACATGCCTTGAATTTGTTCCACAGCAAAGATGTTCGTTTACCTGTGCAACTCCAGAGGGCAATGGCAGCCGAAGCCGAGGCTGCAAGAGAGGCTCGTGCGAAGGTAAATGAATTTACTGTGCCGTAACATTAATACAAGGCTAAGTCATTGACGGTGAATCAGATGTCAGTTTCTTGAAAACAACACTTTATATGTAAAATATTTGTAGTTATTTAAACATTTAATATATTTGGTAACTGCAAATTTTGTCTAAACAATCTTTTTTATATGCTTGTTATTTATCAAAATATATCTTAAAATATATTAAGGGCTTGAAATTAAGTAGTAGTACATTCTATGCGGTTTAGAGTACTGGGTAAATTTTAGTTAGAAGATGAAGAGAGTATGGTTTGACTGAGAATTCAAATTTAACAGAGAACACCTGATGCCACATTACAGAATCTCGTACTGACATCACTATGTAGTAGTCAGTGCTTTTGGTTCATATTTTGCAGGTCAAGGTTTGATTCTTAGCCTGAAGAATGGCTATTGTGAGGGTTTTTTTGGGTTTTCCTCGATCTGTCAAGACAATTTTGGGGCAACAGCACTTTAAAACAGGCCATAGCTGGTTTCTTCCACATGCTTCACAGTTTTCAACTTTAACGTCATTTAATACTGTATAACCTACTAAGCAGTGACGTGCAGTAGTATCTTTTGATTATTAAGTTGACAGTCAATTCGAGACTTGGCTGAACATCACAAGTTGCATTTTTGAAACAATATGGGTTTGAGAGTTCTCATGTCATTTCAATGCTTTATGAAGGTTGTCGATTTCACCGAATCCAGTCTTGTTCCTTAATTGTTTTTCTTTCAGAAACAATAGACATGGCCAAAAAAAAAACAATTTCCCTATGTTACGTCAACCGGATAGCCAATCTGTTTTAGAATACTGTTCCAGATTAAATTTCCTCACACATGATTTGGTTTGTGCTTCAAGTTCTGGAAACTCGCATATCAGTCGTCCTCTTTCTATAATTATTTTCTTCTCAGAAAAGTACCTACTATTAAACCCCCATTTAGTTGCATAGTCACATGAAGGTTCTCTGCCAACATTAATTTTAGCTGTGCATGTAGTCTAATCTCTCCCTGTCACTTGTACCACGAGGTTGGGAATGCTTCCGTTGCATGTGGATCGTTTAATTTCTGAAGTTTAACATGCTTCAAAATACGATCACAAATACAATACTGCACGATCTAATTTTGCACGTACAATGTTTTAAAACTTAATTTTTTCTTACAACACCCAGCAAGAACTGAAATCACACATAAACAGTTAATTTTCACATCACCGTTGAAAGAACACATTCTTTCACATCTGCACTACATTCCAAGCAGCGTGGACAACACACTCAGAATTGCTTTCTATAGATACTACGGGTTGGATGAACTCGTATGAAGATTAACTTAAGGAAACTACCCCTAAGAACACTCGCTGCCTGCAGTCCAGTCTCTCGCTTTGCCACGCGCTACATTCTTGAGAAGATGACAGTATTCACAATCCTTGTTATTCAACTTGAATTATTTTCTTTTCATTTCTCAACTATGGAAGCATGTACATGTAAAGAATGTCTTTGAGTTCTTGAAGTGAAGTTTGTTGTTTGCTGATAAAGGTGATTGCTGCTGAAGGTGAACAGAGAGCCTCACGGGCTCTGCGTGAGGCCGCAGAGGTTATTGGAGATTCTCCAGCTGCTCTACAACTGCGCTATCTCCAGGTATGTGCATCTTTCAGATCATAGCTATTAAAATATTTCAATATTATATCTGTTCAAAAGTGACAACCATTACGCTTCAGTATCCTCTTTTGTTACACAGAAAGTCAAGGGCTGGTTTCAATATAATGTTTACGCTACAACACGTACATATTAGGTGTTCGTCATACTCTGGTGTGAGCAAAGAACACCGTATGGGCCTGTCTATGTCATGACCCGTTCCAACAGTGGGATCAGAAGCCCCACAGTTGGAATGCATTATTTTGAAACATTTGCCTCAAATCACAGTACATTAAAGACCTAATGCATAACAAGTCATCAGGTTAAATTAGTGCGACAGTGATGTATATGACGTGACATGAAAAATCATTAGAATTAGTGTGCAGCAGAAAGACTGTTGATTACAGTCTCTCTCTCTCTCTCTCTCTACTATGTTATATAAAAATTGAATGTCTATAAATGTGCTGAGAATTTTGAAGTACCTTGCAAAACCTAATATACTAATATGGCATTCATTTTAATGGGTAGCAATTGTTTTGGTACTGTGTGAGACGTTTGCTACAGATGTCCATCATCCATTCTCAATGAACTGTCTATTATTTCTTATATCTTTCAGTGTCTTCTACAATGCTCTTTGCCCAAGTTGATTTCTTAAAATGTCATTTCCAATATGATATTTTCTTGAAAATCCTTCCAGTGGTCAAATTTTTTTTTAATTTTTTGAACCTCCGTTTCTTTTTTCAGATCCGTACAGTTATGTGGGTTTCTCTGGTGATTTTATGAAATGTAATTGTATACATTTGGACACATTTTTTTTCCAAAATTTCATTTATTTTGTTGAAATTATTAGTTATGGCTTGCAAATAAGTAGAGGCAGATGATAAAATCTCAGGATATCCAGTATTTTTGCCAAGATATGTCTGAGAATGTTGTATAAGTGTGTTTAAAATGTGGTCTGTTTCGCTGGGAGACACATGGTTAACATTTCAGCTTTTCAGATGGTTGTCATTATTGATAATAGACTTAGAGGTTTTGCCTGTTCATGTTATGTTTCACAGACTCTGAACACCATCTCAGCAGAGAAGAACTCCACCATTGTATTCCCTCTACCAATTGACCTCCTCACGTACTTTGTGAAGGCTCGGGAAGCTTCATCCAAATAGTAAATATATTTTTATTAATCTTCAGCACTGATTTCAAAGCACAATGTCACAAATAATCATGGCTGAGGTATCACAAGGTGTACAAGAACAAATGCAATCTTTTTGGGAGTGCATATTGAAAGTGATTTATTAAATGTGAAAACATATTTATAAATGTTTTATTTCACAAACTAATCACAGTTGTAGTGTTCAGACTTTCTTTCAGTTTCTTTGTGTCAATGTAAAATTTAAAACAAATGACTTAATCTACGTTCCCAACTAGTCTTTCAGCTGACTTTGATGGTCCAACACCTTCGTGTTTTTTGTAATTACATTTTTGTAACGGACACGTGTAGTAGCTGTCCCTCTATGATAAAACAGACTAGTGAATCTAAGTGGAATGCTCAAAGATTTTACTGTGTCTGTCAGTATTTATTGTATTATCCACCGGCATAAAAAAGGCAAGACTTTTTATATGATGGATTGCCTTTTTCATTAACTGTCCAAGGCTGTGCTTATAGTAAATATGGGTGAAATTTTGACGACAGGATGTCGCTGTAATGCAGTTGCCGATATCTTGGAAGCAACAACAAAAACAAATTAACATTATTATTTTTATTATATTGTGTAGTGAACTGAAATTTGGTAATAATATAATTAATTAAAATGCAAGTGTTGCATTTGAATGCAGATTACATTCAGTTTAGTTCTTACAGTCTGTTATAAGCTGGTACAATAAACATATTGGTATTTTAACAGGGTGGTGGTTTATAATATTTTTTTTTACATATTTTTAAGAATTACCATATTGGATAAAAGATGACATCAACATATTTATGAAGATTGTTGTCTTCTGGGTTGTTGCACCATGTAGTCTCGTAAATGTCCACCATCGCCCTGATGATGGAGGCAGCAAGGACCTCTGAAAAGCATCTACCAGACTGCACGGCGCAACAACCCAGAAGACAGCAATCTTCAGACTCAACGTCGTGCCACATATTTCTGTTCTGCAGATCATTAATTTTGTTCACGTACACATAATTGACTGTTTTTTACAAATGCCATAATACAATTTTTCCAGCCCTAATGTGTAGGAAATACTTAAAATTTATTAATTATTTTATATAAAATCATGCAAGTTTAGTGTCAATCTGTTGACAAACTTGTTATTGGAAAGTGAACTACTAGTAGTGAATTGAATGCTGCGCTCAGTGCAGCCGGAACTACTTAGCTAATATCAGCTTCCCAGTGATTTCAATTTGAGAATTCTTGTCTGTTTTCGGTAGAGAAGTACGACATATTTTCACTTCCTGAAGATTAGAAACTTAATGTGTACACAAAGTAACATTTCTTTCATACTTAATTTTAAACTTTGTAAAGTGATTTTTTAGTAGGAAAATGTAGTTAATGTCCTGAGTGTGAAATTATTTTGACTTAGTTACTCCGTATATGAAAGGAAAATGGACTTTATAATTTTGGTGTCCTGCAATTGCTGCCGGCAAACAAGAGAACAGATGCACAAAACCAATACTAATGATGTAAGCAAAATACAGAATTGGAAGGCAGCGAAATTTCCTCTCACTTTGTGTAATGTCACAGTAAATTAAGTGGTAGGATCACCTTTCCGTTATGCTATTATTATGTTGCGTGAAAAATGTTTCCGGATAATTCTCATACATGAACTTTATGAATGTATGCAAGGAAAAGATTTGTCTTTTATCACAGATGTTTGTTTGTTTCATGAGATTACACTGATTTTGCAGACTGCGTTGGATCTTAGAGTTTTTCTCTAAACTTAAAAGAAAATTTTGAGTACTGTGGTTTCATGAGTCTGACATAATTTTTTTTTAGCAATTCTAGAGATATGAAGACAGAATTGTTGGAGAACAATTGATTCCATCGACCCATACAAAATGGTAGAAGAAGAATGGAATGATTTTTCTTTATGCAGAATCAGCGTCGGTCGGTGTGTATTGCAGTATATTTTCATTTGACTTATTTCTCACGCAGTAATTAAATATCCCGTTCTACATAACTATAGCCAACCTGAACAAAATTTTGCTCCTTATTTAATTTGACATTATTATATGATTTGAAGATTTCATGGTGACGTAACTCAATAAAATCTTCTCGGGTGATCATTTGACGTGGCTGATCGCCCGAGAAGATTTTATCGACATTACTACTTTAAAATGGGGGATTTCCCTTCCTGAGAATTTAAGGTTTCCTGGCAGATATTATTAAAATTTTCTTGTCAGTCCAGACAGAAAGAAGGAAAATGCGATATTAAGGTGAATCACAACAATAGAGCTACTTATTATTATGAATGTGTTAAAAATGGTGTTTACTTATAACATGGAATTTTGGAATGGTACAAAGTGACAGTTTCTACAGGATACAAAACTTAACCGTACGTGAAAGATGGCTGATTGATTTCTGTAGTGGTTCACATTTCAGGTGATATGAAATTTTTTTCCCCAAAAGCTGAAAACTAGGCGGACACTGAAACTGCAGCATTACTGTATTGAAGTATCTTCAAAGATAGATTTATTTCTTGTCGCTGATTCTGAAAGAGTTGCTGGAAACTATTAAATGGGTCAAAGTATGAGAAATGCTTGAAATGAGATATTGCATAACATTTCAGGAATTAATTTTTTAAAATAAGTCGCAATATTTTAAAACATAATTGTTCATAATTCAGATGTTTCTATAATATAATTTCTCTTGGGAAGTTTTATTCACAATGAAATATGTTTCTGGATAATATATGTGGTGAGGTAGGGAAGCACTTTGTACGCAGTGAGATTTTTCTGATTCTTTTCATAAGAGGATCCAGTAATAAAAGTAATGTTTACACTTTTTGTTACTGGTAAGCATCCCATGTTCATTCCATGACTTAACTGGATTTATATAATTTTGTGGTATAGGTTAGACTACCTTCAAATCAAGATACTCTGGTTAGGAACATGCAACAGAGACTTACGTTGAATTGTTTTGTGATATGTTTGTTGTACCTATTAATCAGTATTGGTCCAGAAATGTTAACCCTTTTACCGGTTAACTTCATTGTGGCGTTATGTTTGACCACATGCTGTCAGTAGCATCATGAGATGTGTAATCTATGATTTATTTTCATTTATGTACACTTTTTATTATTCTCTAAAGTATTTGTTCTGAATAGATTCCATATATGAAGGTGAATTTTGGTGTTTTGTAAAAGATTCTGAAATAAAATAATTCACTTTGATGCGTGTTTCATACTGCATTTGGCCCTTAAACTTCCTGGATGTTCATTAACTCCATCCAGGCAAAGTTGAGTCCTTTGTCTTGTAATTTCAATAACACATTATTTTGAACACACATGATAATCATTGCCAGTCAATATTTGGACACTAATAGGCTTCAATCCCAGAACTACAGACTAAGAAAATTAAAGTTTTGGGACACAAACTTCGTACAGGAGCCGAGTCCTTCCTAAGAAGCCAACGGTCACTCAGGAGGAGGAGGAGGCTCAATCCTGAGTAATAGTATATAAGCAGGTCATCTTAGGGACGTAGTGGATTCTTATCCTTTGTTCGTCAGATTATAACCATGTTGCCTTCGACTGGCTCGCTGCCTCCAGCATCCACGACCACCAACTGTCCTCTACATAATCTTCAACAATAAACCCATTACGGTCAGTACAAGCAAGCACCGCCAACCCTTGAGGTAAAACCGCTCGGCCACCTGCGTTCCAGACCCCTAAGCAAGCTTGGACCTGCGAGCTTTGGGTACAGCGATTCAGCATCATAAGACATCGAATGAATGAAATATGAATTCATGTAAACCAACATTTTAAAAAAAATTAAAGGTGTATTTCTAAGAGATTTGAACGTGTATTTTTATTGTATGCATTTTACATCATGTCTTTTGATCTCTTAATGCTTAATATTGGAATGAATTAACCACATGCAACTTCGAGCCTGTGGGAAGACTGTTCTTGTGAATGAAGGAAATACGCAAAGATTTTCAGGAATGTGTTATATTCATGAGTTCCTGCTCCTTTCCTGGCACAAAAACAGTATGATTGCTCAAGTGCAGAAACAGGTTTCTGACGTAAGCTCTAAATATATATTTGTCTTTAGGTTAATGAGCATGCAGAAATCTGTCAAACCACACAAAATCTACCAACACAGTTTTGGAATAATTGCTGTAAATTCATGTTAATATGGCTGCTATTGCGTAGTTGCATCAGGAGCTGAGGTCTTGCAGTATGGAAGGTCAAAGGGTAGGCGCGATGGCTGGCAGCCCACAATGGAGAAGGTGACCACTGCCGTGGGATCACGGTACAGAGCAGTCTCATAGCGTGTGACAGTGTCTGTGATGGTGGCTCGCCGCAGGCCAAGGTACTCGTCCCAGCCCGTAGTCTCAGTGGAGCCTGTCAGCCATCTTTGATCTCGCGATGGTTCGTGCAGTGAGGCTGCTCTTGTTGTCATGATTCTGAAAAAGAAGATACACATTTCTGTGATTGTAAATATTTTGCCATGTCTCACAAGTTATTATTTAGTGTTCTGTCTGACGACAGGTCCATATGAACAGGATCCTTCCATCCTTTTCTCAGACTGGGACCTGTTCATATATGTTCTTGGCAGATGATCCAGAAGTGGTTTGCCATTGCTAGAAGAGACCCAAATCTCTTTCCCATCTACTGTAAACATTTAATTACAATAAATCTATCCTCCCAAGGTTGCTGTTGCTAAAAACAAAGTTATCTTGTCAAATGTGCGTCGGTTAAAATCTCGGAAGTAAAATTTTGGAGTCGAACAATAAATATTTAAAGTGAATATTAATTAAATAAGTAGTTCAGGAATTGTGTCTAATTGCAGTATTTGATATTAACAGTTTTGAATTTTGGGCTCTCTTGCCAGGAGGATTCATTGCATTGTTAAATGACAGGTTAGTTAGGTGGTCAGTTTGTTAAGTAGCTGTCTGTTGGGTCAGTCTGTAGGTTATACAACCCAAGATTAAAAGGAGCACTGACTTCAGGATGGCAAGTCCGTCTCATTGAAGGGAGGCAGAATACTCACTGCACAGGAGCTGTGGGCAATATCTCCGGCTGTCCGCAGGGCAACAGAGAGGGTGCAACAGCAATGCATGATGACATCGTGGTTTGAGTGATGGTGCGTCGCTCCTCCACCACGGCAGTAGCCTCCGTCCGTCTCAGCAGCCACCGAGCATCCCTATCTGCCTGCGCTAGGGACACCACCAGCAGGACCACGCACCACACTTGCATATCTTAAGATCAAAGGTCAGTCTGACTGATATTCTGGAAGTAACTGGTCCGCAAACGTAGCAGAACACAGGCTATCATAATTCTTTGTGCCTTTCAGGCATGTAAACACAACTTCCTTCTCAATCCTTTTCAGTTTTCAATAAGTAATAATGTCCTCAACTTGTTTGGTGTGAAATTAGCTCTGCATTTAGTATAATATCATTAAAATATAAACTACAAATCTATTATTATTAATTGTTATTTACAAACTGACAGGTTAAGATACATTTCAACACATATTGTACGCTGTGCATTGTATTTACTGTCGGAGTTTAAGGCCCCCCCCTGAATCCATGCAGTCGGCAGAGACAAATGAAACGCTTTAAAAAATGCATGTTAATGAAATGTTAAAAATTGTGTGAAGTATATACATTACATTGCAGTTCGCTCATTTTCTTTCATTAATAAGAAAAGTAGTCAGTACATAAATATTATGTTGAAGAGATAGGCTTTTTTACATCGCAAATCCACTTCAACGATTATGTGTAAGATACTGATGGTAACGCTTGCGTGCTACGTACAGAATGTGGCACGAATTTAATTACAACTACAAGCATTCAGAATTTACAAAGTACGTATGTGTATTTCGGTATGGATTACAACTTTCTAGTCTTGTGTTGTGAAGTATTCTCATAAAAGCTACCATCAATAAGGGTAAGAAGAGAACGAAATGTTTACCTGAAAACTGTTCCAACTGTGGATCTTTCGACCAGCTGGCCAGACAACAGAATGAAAAAGTTTGGGCAGAATTGGCAAGCTGTTTTCCAAGAATAACGAGCTTGAGGCAAGAAGATAAATTGTTGTGATAATCGTCCCTAATGGCGCCACGTCTAGGTGATTAAGGAATGAGAAACAACAAACTTCCGGGTCAGCAAATGGAAAGAGAAGTTTTTCCATCACAAGGGTGCACAAACGTTTACATCAACGAGCGATGTGAGGTTTTAACGGCGGTGAGTCTGAAGATTTCTGTCTTCTGGGTTGTTGCGCTGTGTAGTCTGGTCGATGTTAACCAACGTTTCAGAGGTCATACTGCCTCCGTCATCAGAGTATGAAGATTTCTGTCTTCTGGGTTGTTGTGCCGTGTAGTCTGGTAGAGGTTTACCAACGTTTCAGAGGTCCTTGCTGCCTCCATCATCAGGGTGATGAATGAGCCGCACGATCAACCACTAACCAAAAAGTCTACCACAAGCGCGAGACATCGTCCTATGCTAGGTGACACCATTCCTACGCAAGAAACGCATTGCTGGAAAAGGTAAACAGTGCCTTACTTTTAAAACGTGGGTGTGATTTCTCTACCGGGGATTTTGTCGTGGCGGAAAGCCTTGAAAATGCAAAGTAAGGTTCTATTGCTGCTGAGAGGTTAACCCATCCTTTGCGTCTGGCTTGGGGCACGGTGCTTTGTTGCTGTGCACGGAGCTGGGATATTCTTTTCATGGAGATAATCGTTCTACCACAACCCCTGATCGCCAGACACGGTGTCCGGCAGAGACTGGGTCCGGGAGTGACCATGTCCGCGTCCGGTAGAGACTGGGTCGTTCAGAGATCGGGTAGGGAGAAGTTTGGAAAAAATTTTGAAAAATCAAAAAATGCCGGAAAATGTCGACAAAGCGCACAAAACAAAAACATTTGGAAAAATTTCACCTTCAAAAACTTTTGAATAAATTTCGAAAAATTTCGTTTAATACGCTTTTATGAAATTTACGACCTATTTAAAAATTTTGAAAATTTTCGAATTTTGATGGTCGTTTCACCACACCACAAACGTCAGAGACAGTGTCCGGTACAGAACGGGCTCGTCACACACCGACACGGCAGGGAACGGTGGGGAGAATTTTGAACTTAATTTTTTTCTGATATTTCGGAAATGTTTGGTGTTTGCGGTTTTTAGACGGATTCCAGCATTTTTTTTAATTTTTCAAAATTCACCCCACACGATCATCACCAGAACAGATTTATGCTAGACTCGGTCTCAGCCAGACCTAATCTCTGTCACACCCGGTCTCTCCAAGCTCCGGTCACAGCTTCACCCGTTCTCCACCTCACTAGGTTTATGCCTCACCTGATATTTGCCGGAACCGTTCTTTGCAGAGCCGGCCCGTCAGAGACTGCGTTATACAGAGAAAGTGTCATGCAGATTCAGATTCCGGCAGAGACTGAGGTCGGTAGAAACCGGGTGGCACAGAGACAGTCTAGCAGAAAACGTGTGTCGCAGATACAGAATCTGTTCTGTACCTGGGTGGGGAAATTTTGAAAAAAATTCAAGTTTTTCAAAAAATGATGGAAATTGTCCAGAAAGCGCACAAAACCAAAAAAAATTGAGAAATTTCACCTTCAAAATATTTCTCAAAATTTTAAAAAAATTTGGTTTTGTGCGCTTTTCAGACAATTTAAAGCATTTTTTGATTATTCGCAAATTGTCATTATTTTCAATTTTTTTCAAAGGTCTCCTCAAGAGGTGCATGCCAGTCTCGGTGAATGCCACATCCTGTCTCTGCCGGACTCCGCCTCAATCTCACCCAGTTGCTGCGTGCCTCGTTGTTCCCACCAACCGGCCT